CCGATCCTGTGCCAGAGTCTGAGCTTCGGCAAAAGACAAATGCAGTCTGGAACAGATTCCTTCCATATATGTTTGCACCAGGTTAATCTTCGCCGTCCCGTGGGCCTTTCGCCAATCGGTTTCTCAAGATACAGTTGCTTAGCCCTCCTTCCTGGAGGCATTCGTAACACATGCCCAAGCCTTCGCAGCTGTGGCTTCTGAATCTGGAGTTGTATTCTTAACATTTTATTCCATTCCCTGGAAACGACGGAAGTGAAGTTTAATATTTCGAGTGAAGATGTGCGGTCTTGCTTCAAGAGCTGTTGTAAGAGAGAGGATAGAATAAAGAACTGAGGCAATCGACCGGCTGCAAATGACGCGCTTAAGATAGTGGAACCATCGTGAAGAAGCGAATGATTGTCGCCTTGAAATGGAACACTGAACGCAATGTAAGATGGCAGGCGGCTGCAAGGAAAACATTCAGCAAGATCGGAAGATATCGGTAGAATTGACGGTGCATCGAAAAGACTGAAGAATGAATACGCATTTCTTCGATCCAGGTGGAATACTTGTGCAGCAGCAGCCTGTGTTGTCTTCGATGTGATGGGATAAGAAGAAGAAGCAGAAGAAGAAAAACAAGAATTAGGTTCCCCAATTGCAGTGGCAGTTTCATAGTGCTCTCATAGGACATCATGCTCGTGTGTATCCCTCGTTACACTATGCTATTACCGTCCGGCTTTTAAACTGAACCCCATCTTAATCATTTATGAAAATACTGCGGTCATTTTTAGAGCAAAGATATGGCATCAGTCAGTCAGTTTCGAAGGTCCGACAATGTCGCCAACGTTCCTAGTGCTGTACCACGGTCTGAGATGTGGAGGATGATTTGATTCCACTCTTGGGCAAAGTCCATTCCCTGGCTTGCCCAAAGGCATTGTCGAGTTTTCTCGAGGACTTGGGACCGTCGGTCGAGCAAGTTGTAGCTGCTTCGCCTTCGTTTCTGCAAGCAATGGCAAGATGTGCCAAAACCCTTTGTAGCTGTAACTTCTCAGTTTGGCAAAGAAGCTGCTGTGCGTCAAGATTTACTCAGATATCTGAATTGCGGATTCTGACATGACAAGTGATGAGCCGATTTTGTACGTGGCATTTATAAAGAAGGAGGTGAATCTTTTCGTCCTGTAGAAAAGAAAGGCATTAGCATACCTTTTAGAAAAATCGTGTAGTATGCGGATATTCAACAATTAGACAAAGCAATATTCGAAATATCACAGACTAGAAATACGATTAGTTAGAACAAAGCACAACGAACATAGAGAACTTACTATGGGAAGCCACACTCCCCAAAGTACGTGCGTTGAATGTTGAGTATTTACTTTGGTAGACCATAGAGGTACCCAAGAATAGCTTTACCAATTGTTGCCTTTGGTTCGATTGTCCGTAACAGTCTTACGAAGAAAATGAGTTGCTGGACTGGTCAGTTTATGCTGAAGGCGAAGTGAGTTATGTAGCAATAGTAAAAGAATTAATAAACGATATCATACATCATTTTGTATAGTTGAATTTATTAAGAGCATCCTGCACACTGGTCAGTGGAGAGAGTTAGGAAGCTCGGTAGCTTTATTAGGATGTGGGTCCGTCTAACTCTCGGATAAATGGAATCAGATGTGGCACCATTAATTCAAGGGGCATGAACCACCGCTCAGTTATTATGCAATGCTAATCTCAGAGTTTATGCCAAAAGTCAGGAGTGTTATAATTTTTTGAAATTAATATCTACAGTTATTTAACAAGTACAACCTGTACCTTTTCATTTCCTTTCCACAGGATGGTGCTTGTTTATTTATCCAGGAAAGACGAATGGAAAGAAATGTGACTGGTACTGGAATTTGTATGGTTCGGCGCTCTTCTGATTGGGTTCCCATAATGATGAAATAAAAATATATCGAATGCTTTGGCGAACCAACCTGGTTTCACTCTCAAATGACGTATGTTCATTGGAAAGTTCGATCCCTCTGCAGTTCCTCCTGTTCTCGTGGATGCCGTGCTTAAGATAACAATGAGTCACAAATTTAATATATTTATAAGATGTGGTAACAATTATACAATATCTGAAGGGTCACCAACTTGCAGCACGCTTTCTTACAAACTAAACAATAGCATATTGAAGAAATTCTATGCTGAACAGAATGAGGATAAGTTAGAAAACTGAAATATCTCCTCATAACGTAGCTGTCTGCTCAGTATTTAACTCGTTAAAATGCGTGATTTCTGTAAGTGCCCAGAGTGACTGCGATAAGACTGCAGCACCATATAAGATTATCACTTGGAGGTCAACAATAGAATGGTTAGGATATGGTATCTCCTTTAAAATAATTACAGAAATATTTCACCGGTTTGGATCTGAAGTGACCATCGTAAACACAGAAAGTGCGTCAGCCGACAGATACAAGGTCTTGCAGCAGGCAGTTTTAGAAATTTTGATCAGCTTTATATTTTGCTTCTGAAGAAGGGAAAAATGTACTGGAACGCCTTAAACTCAAAGCATTGAAATTTGACAAAGTTTTTCGTCATAATATCTTAAGTAACTCATGGCCGAAGAAGGTCTAAGCTGTGAAGGAGGCTCTCAGTTTTACAGCATGCCCATGTTACTTAAGACATCTTGACTTGTAAGCACACAGCTGATGTTGTACAATGATTTGACAAATCTAAACTCCGCTAGTGTATAAGTCGAGAGTGAGTGGGTCATGAATTAACTGTTTCAATGAAACGACTATGCTTAGCGTCTATCCTTGCGTTAGACGACAATGGATGATAGTTTTGTTATGCAGAATACCTTTTTAGGTAGAAAGAACAATACTTTTATGAGGTAAACATTATCTTTATTGCTATATATATATCTCCTGCTATATAGATGAACTTATAAATTTGTGGGAGGATTGATTGACTGTTGCATCATAACATTACGTGCTTTGCCAACCTATTTGCATGCAATAGTTTCAAATACATGAATGATGGGATTTTTGTACACACTTCGTTGTAAATTCATAAATCTCTTATATGACTAATAACCTGAACATTTAGGAAACACGCTGGCCAATAAGAAATCTATGAGGACATACCTCAGGGAAATGTGCAGCTCCTTTTACTGCGTCGACAGTCTAGTCATATTCATTCATGGCCCGGCAATGTACACTGATCGATTGTCGATTTTGCTGTCAGACCACAACAACAACGGAATCGTAAGTTCGCGAACGTACTCCTGATTCTGTGGAATACATGATGTGAAATCAGGCTGATGATTCAGAGACGTACTCAATCCAGGAGCTGCTGGAAGACACAGCCGACTGCACGGCAAATAATCTCTATTTGATCGCGGACCATTCGTACAGCGGAAAGTTAGTCTCACAGCTTCGCTTGTCTACGCGCCATCAGAATGTAATCGCCGTCACCAGTGGCGGTTCAGATCAGTTTTCACCAAACTCTAGGTTCATCAGGCTGTGGTTAAAAAACGACCATAAAAACAGCTGCTTCAAGGATGTGTTCCAGGTTAGTAAAGTAAACGGTTATCATATACGCTGCATTAGCACTCAACTGTAGTCACCTCTTCTGTAAACTAAAGTAAACTTGGAGAAGTATGCTTCGACCGCAGAATTGTTTATATGTGTATTATTCAGATATATTCCCAGTTTGCAACCTGCAGATCAGTCATACTGTAACGTTAACGCTGACATTGCAATAGCGAAAGACGGCATTTCAGCGCTGCCTTCAAATTTGTACTAGATGCTTGTGATTTTTGTAATGGATGCCATGTTCGTTGTTGTTAGCAGATCAATCCATTTCCGTGCAATGACTGGTAGACGTCTGCTGGGGGAACTTTATTTCTATCAAGAAATCATCAAACAAACTATTTTAGATGAGCGGACATCAATGGTTTCAACAGCTTGCGGTTTTGCACAGCGACTAAAGACGATGACAAAGATGGAAATATTCGAAAAGTCTCTAAAGCCATTTAAGGCTAAAATTTGAAA